CCCACTTTCCAACCTCACCTGCCCCACCAGGGGCTCCAGGACAAGTGATACCATTTCAAGTTATCCAAGTTTGCCCAGAAGGCTCCTCTCCTCAAGTGATGACATCTCTGCATAAACAGCCCTCTGGAGGACACTTTCCCACGATGCTCCTTCCTCTCGGCCACTTCTCCCAAGTGTTTTCATTTCTTTATCATCCTGCTGGATTTCAGGGTTTGCCTGACCCCCTCAGAATTATGAGGCCAGCTGCAGGACAGGGGTCAGTTCCTTATTCCACAAACACGTGGTTTCCTGAGCGAATGACGAATTCACATGGGAAAGTCACGACACCTCCCTGCATCATAGGACTCAAACCTGCACACAACAGAGCTGGACAAGAAACATTTGGGGCTACTTAAGAAACCACGAACACTTGATGTGAATACAGAGTAACCTCTCACAACAGCAGGCTGGGCCCGAGAAAGGAAACAGGAGGGTGCTGGCCTCCCACTCTCTTCAGCCTGACTTCACTTACAGCCATGACAAAACATATTAATTAGGAAGATCCATCCAAGTCAGCTCTTCAGGGGGTTCCACGAAACATAAGAATCCTACTCACACCTCTCCCATGGAGGCCTGCCTTTGAGCACCCCTAACACCATCTCTCCAACTTCAGACAGCACTTTTTTTTAACTCACTAGAATTGCTTCCAGGAGTCAAGACAGCATTTCCAAAAAATTCCTGCTAAAATGCAAATGGGTTAGCCATGAGGAAGCATGCACTAATCTCTCATATCTTATCAACCCAAGCTAGCTTGTTCTTCCAAGAGGGAGGGGATGGATGAGAGGGACCCAGAGGCAGGACATTCCCCATCTGAATATAGCTGAAAAGAGCAGGGGTTGGCGTGTGACCCCCAATGCAGCCTTAGAGAGGCCAGGAGGGTCCTATTAAGAGCAGTCTGGAAATGAACACTTCCTACAAGTAAACACCCTTTTTCTTGCTTCCTTGGGTAATTGAGGGACAGCTGTAGTTTCTGGCTCAGTCAGGGTCTGAATATAAATGTGACTGCAAAGGGGCTTTTCCACCTTGAGCGGTTTAATATTCTGGTCCAGTCCCCATGCCCACTCTGCAGTTTGTGGCACCAATCCTGGGCTCTAGGGGAAATCATCCTGTGTGCTGCCCCTTTTAAGTCCACAGCCACCCCATCTCCATATTTCTAATTTAAATCCCAGCTTGCTGGCTCTGTCTGCCACTGCACATCTTCTCCAGGAAAAGTGATTTTCCCGATGGCTGCTTTTACACCACAAGCCCAATCTTTCATTTGGCTCTGTGTCCTGTCATAAGGGGGGTCACAGAACCCAATTCTTCACAGTGCGATCTCATTATTATTTCTCCTCTTGCAGAATGTCAGGAGGAGGAAGGAAAGGAACATGTCTGAGGCAGCTCCCGCAGTCCAAAGGGATCAGTCCCAAGGGACGCAAGTTGCCCAGATGTGAACAACTCCATAGGAATCCTTAACCTGTTTGGGCTCAGAGCCACGGGCACTTACAGAAGAACCCAGCAGTCCCTCCCGCCCACCAATTTTTTAAAGTCAGATTTATTGCAGAATGATTTCCATACAGTAAAATGCACCTTTTTAAAGTATACAGCTCAATGGGTTTTGACAAATGTAATAACACCTGTTGGCTTAAAATCCACCTGTTACTAGAAACAGCATAAGATTATACTGAATGACCTGAATTACCAGAGTAATTGTATCTGGTACAAAAAGTTTCCACATTGTGGGCTTTTGTCTTATTCCTTAATTTGGTGTTTGTCTT